TCATTCTCTTCCAGATTATTTAACCTACTGGTGCATAGTAATTACCATAATTTCCCGCCGTTTACCCGCGGGTAAGCTGTTGATTTTGCCTTAGACACGCACCACTGCGGGTATTAGAGAGGTGCCGGCTATGTGACACTTTTGAAATCTACTGGCAGTTGAATTGAAAAAAATTCTCACCTACCTGCATTTCCACCTCTCAGATGAATTTTAATGTATTAATTAAGAGTGCCACAAAGCAGCACGAAAACGTGATGCCGACTTGAGTTTCTTTCACGCACAATTAGTTACGCGACGAACATATTTTTATCGGCACACGTGCAAACAAAACCTTGATGGTGACAAAAATAATCCAATGATAACTGGCGCATCAGTAACAAATTTCCAGTTAACACTAGCTTGAGCTGAAGAGAACAGTCTCTCAGTTGAAACAAATTGCTCTTAGCACACCACGGGGAACTCTTGTTGTGATGCCGATACGGTGCAAGAACTGCATGAGTGAGGTGCTCAAAAAGTAGCACCCAGATCATCGCAAAAAGTAGCAAGGTTACAATGGAAGGGTGTTCAAAAAAATCTTGACTCCAAACACTTAGCAGACAGTTGTGCAAAGTTCGTGTTTTGATAAGATATAACTCATGATCGACTGCAATAAGTATTCATAACAGAGGTTAATCAAACAGAATGCATCTCTTTTCATAAATACACAGCATTTACAGAGAAAACTTAATTGTGATTTCAGTTTCATAAACCGAGGGCACTAAAGATCTGCTCTAGTTAGCATGGATGGCAAACATCACGCAAGAATATATGACTGAAGCACTTTAAAATAAATTTTTCTGTGACCTTTAAGAACAGCTATCTGAAATAACAACGATCAAAGTAAACTATGTTGGGATTGAGAGCTTTTGGGTAAAATGATCATATAATATTTTCATTTATTGTATTCGGAAAATTTTGAAAGGTTCTTGCCAATACAATAGAATCAATAGATATGAAACCAAGTATCCTTTTTATCTCATCTGGCTCAATCGCCAACATCTCTGAAAATACACCATCCTCCACATACTCTAAATTTCGTACGGGAAGAAGATGAAATAAGCTACAACGTTTCCAATTAAGCTTCACCCATGCCGTTACATAAACAGAAAGCGCTAAAGATCTGCTCTACTTAACATGGAGGGCAAACATCATGCGTGAATAGCGTTGAAGTACTTTGAAATAAAGTTTTCTGTTACCTTAAAGAACAGCTTTCTCAAAGAACAATAAAGAATAGTGGCATAGAGTACTTTTGACGAAATTTTGCCCTTTACAGAGGTAAAATAATCATATAATATTGCCATTTAGTGAAATCGAAAGATTTTGAAAGAATCTTGCCGGTACTAAAGAATTAAATAGATATCTCTCCAATAATTCTTTATATCTCATCTGGTTCGGTCGCTAACATCTCTGAAAATACACCATCCCCCACACAGTCTAAATTTCGCACGGGAAGAAGGTAGAGGAGGCAGTGACGTTTCATGTCGCTTCCACTGATTAGTATTACTGTGATCAGATGGATGAACTGATATACAAAAAGGTGATATACTCTTACGCGAGCAAGAGAAAGGAAGGTGCCGTCGCGTGCATTCATCATCAATGACGGGAATGAACAAGCTCCTAAGTCACAGGATCCTATCCTAGTTCCAGTAGCACGGAAACTCAGAGCTGGATGTTAATTTAATATACAAAGGACTAGCAATTTGCACTTTCGACAGTCAGTTGTAATTGAAGTTGGTAACAATGGCGCCAAGTTCACCCTAAATTACGAACAGTTAATCCCTCCCAACCGAGGTAGGAGACGACGAAAATTGAAAGCAGTAGCGTACTTTCGCTCGATAAAATATTCCACTTATTCGATGGATTGCGTTTGTGAATCAAGTTTAACACTAACAAAAACAACCAAGAAGAGGTCTAAACAAAATTCAAGTTAATCAAGGCAGTTAATTAACCGGATCGCAAAGGCGTATATTTGAAATAACTGAGACACCCAGGAAAACATCCGTCAGTTGCCGCTTTCAAAACGGTTTCTTCTTGATTGCAAGATAAAGTTTCCAGTTCTAAACGTGAACCAATGCGGTGTCTGTTTCACTTTAAATTGAAATGTTTCAAAGCTCCGATATTCCTTTTACGAACAGCTTCAGTTTAGACAGGAGGAAGCTACAACGCAAGCAAAATCATGATGAGCTCCAAGCTTACCTTACAGTCGGCGTGTAGCGTAATGGAATGACAGTGACATTCAAAGATTTACATCCGAACTGAATGTAGCCAACAACTATAAACGGATGACTCCAAGTACCTTTGGTATTTCATGCGTCCTTGAACTTTCAGCTAAAGACACTCCTTCACGCGTCTGACCACAGGGGGCCAATACAATCTGTTTGTGTAGCCGACCGTTGTTTTATAGTGAATGTACCAGATTTACGGTTTGCCTCACCTAGTGTGATATATAGCTGACTATGTACATAAATCGTTGATAAATAAACGTTGAATTACTTTATTTGTGGTGCATAGTCGTCCTTTTGCCTCAAAAATGCTTTTTTTGAGCGATTTTGAACAAGTCTGATTTCGTATATGAGCACGATCCTTCGTCGTTAATGTAATGCATTAAAGAAAGACAAAGGTGGAAGCCTTGTTTTGAAAGGGTTCAAGCGCCCGAGCGATTTTGACCCCGAAAATCGCATCGCTCCGCTTTCAAACTTCGCAGCATTAAGGTCAAAAGATGCACCATTCTCCTCGTACCTTCCAATCGAAAATCCATCCAAACGGACCGGAGCTAGCCGTCGAAGAAAATCAAAATCCCACAGCATTTTAGCGTCTGGGATGCGTAGCAAGATTCTCGTGTGCCAGCCAGAAACCGTCACGTTGATTGTCCTTTTCTGATTGGACGACGTTAAACGATGACCAATTCAAAATATCTAACGAGGGTAGGGAACCATTGGCGTTTAGAAACCCTTCAATTGTTTACCCACCAGACTCGGGTCGTGTGTCTTTTTCTTTAACGCTCACCGGAAGCAACTTACATTTTCGCGCATTGTTTGCATCTCCTTCATCAATTGCGTCAAAAGTAAACAGGTCACCCGGCAACATAAACAGCACCTGTGAATAAAAAATTGTACTAGTAAGCGCCGGAAGAAAATATGAGTCGCTGTTTCTTTCATTTCATCTGAAAGAGGCAGAGCCAGGCTTTTGATGAAAGCATAGGAAATATCGCTGCACTTTCCCATGCGCACTTCTCGCAGACAGGCGACGAATAGCTAGGCCTTGTCACGGCTTTCGACGCCATCTTTACGGGTAGGCAAAGTGGTCAGAAATCACAGTGTTTGTATGGGAATCCCATGACAAATAACTTTTCCCAAAATCGAATTTTACGCAATTTATGAATCGCAACGTTAAAACACTGGGCAGAAGATTGCATTCACCAAGTTTGAAAAATGTAGGTTGGATAGAAGACGCTCAATTAATTTTTCTAATTTTCCATACATTTGTCTGTAAATTTTTTCCGCGCCGCCCCTTCCACCCTGCGAAAATTTCGGTTTGTGCATTCAAAGTCTTTTAACCGATCAGCTGGGATTTGAATATTTGAATACTAAACAATCTGTTTCCCTGTTCATTCATTGGCGGACGCGAACAATGGGCGAAAATGTAAGTTGCTTGCGGTGAGCGTCAAGACACTCACCTATTATATTTTAATTTCAAAATTAAAATAATCTAAAATTAGTTTCGTGAGGGGAGGAGTGAGACGAATTTCAACCCCATTCCTTCTCTATCATCTTTCACGGATGAATTGCTGTGAGGTAAGAAAAGAATTGTTATCTTGTGAATAATACTATTTTATTAATTTGAGGCTCGCAAAATCATAGCATATTTCATTTTTCACACACTACTCGAAAAGGTCCAATTTTGATTGACTCTTGTGCGAGCCACTAAAGGTTCTACAAGAAGGTTAGGGAGGATGACTCAAATACACGATCAACGAAATCAACGGCTGTCTATGAACGCCTTTGCGTGTCTCGTAACCATTACCAAGGAATCCAAGGAATTGGCAACTTTCCCTCAGATACCTTCAGCTGTTATGGTTTACGCCATCCTTAAGTACTTTGAGGGGATAAAGTCTTGGTGGGGCAGTTTCCTGCTAATGTACCTCGGATCACGGCTCAAAAGGCCTGAATGGTTCAAAGTCGCAAAAAAAGAAAGGGATAAAGACATTAATCTCTTGTTTGGAATGCACTGTAGTACGCCTGTAGTTCCTCGTCGTCGTCTTGAGGGAAGCTTTTGCCGCCCATTCTTCGGCCCTGGAGAAGGTAAGCACCATAGCCATTGGGCGGTGGAGGACAAACCGACACTTGGGGCGAGGTCTCGCTTCTCAGTTCGTCTGATAACCACCATTGAGCACATCCCTTTACCCATAATGTAAACAATTAAACAACGGAAAGTATCGCTCTCAGAATTTGAAAAATAAGTCGTTCCGTAGGTCTTCTCCTCTTTTTTTTGGAATCGGGTTTCATTGGGTTAGAGAGTGACACAATTTTTTCAGACAAATCAAAGGTCAGTCGTCCGGGTGACGTTTAGGCGTTTAAATTAAAATTTGCTTCGAAAACTTGTGCTTGTGATGTAAGCTTGGAAGAAAGTCGACCCCTGGCTCATTACCACAGTACTAATGCATTTGAGAGCGTCTTGTCCAACCGAATTCATTTTGTTAATTTCCCAGTTAGGTAGGAAATTGATGGGGTTAAAAAAATCCAACCCCCTGTCGAGGTAGGGTTGTAACATTCGTTGCATGTTAGACAAAGAACATTAACTTACGTCACACTTGCTTCATTGCTGCTTTGATTGTGATACTTGCTAACACTACTTTTACAGGATTAACAAAGTTTTGTAAGTTTGAATCAACATTAAAAGTCCAAATTATTCCAAAGATTTATCTTTAACACTTTAAGTCTGTTACAGGCGATTAATTCCGAGGTCTGATTAACTGAAGTTGACTCTTTGGAGCGAGGATCTACTTGGGCAGTGAGGCGAGAAGCTCAGAAATAAACTTTTCCGGTTCTGGGATGACAGACAGCAGTTCTGTAAGGAAATAAAGTCCAGGAAAGAACATCCATAACTCAGGGACGTTAAACAAGTGCATAAAAAACTTTCTTATAGTGGTAGTCATAGCTAAATTCGTTAAGAAAGAAGCGACTATTTGTGATCGAGGTTACACTGGTAAATACAGTAGAATCCCGATTTCTCGAACTTCCAGGGGAAACGCAAATTGGTTCGAGAAATCGGGAGTTCGAGAAATCGTGGGTGAAATTACTAGGGAAGCAAATCCAAGGGAAACAACGTTTGGTTCGAGATAAGGGAGGTTCGAGAAATCGGGATTCCACTGTACGAAGTTGTACGAGATGGATACACTGAATGAGGATCACAATGGATAAATGACAGCGTAAGAATGTAGCATACACAGTGACAGTTATCATTCGACCCCATCGCCTGACGAAGAATAGCTGTATATCGGTCCAAATGTCAAAATCACAGAAAAACGACTTCAGGTAAATTTACCTGATAACTCGTTATATTTTGATCAAGGATTGATTTTGTTGTCATAAAATAATACAACACAACTTCTCCGGTTCGGAATAAAGTTATATTCTCTTCTTTTCTGAAGCACTTATGTCCTACTTCTTTTGAAAATTGCCGGTATAAATTCGTATGACCTCTACACACTGCACAGTTTTCAGAATCGTTGCATATTGTCTTTCGGCAACATAATAATTACATTATGGTTTCAACTGAGGCCTAAATCTACTGCATCAAACATAAGCTTCCAAGATTTGGCAGAATCTCTGGATGATGCCTTAAAAGAAACCATTACAAGTTTTCAGAATGTGTTGCACCAGCTTTATCACAACAGCAAGGCACATACCTGCGACATCAAACAACTCCATCAGTGACTCTGATGGTAAAAGATCCGTCTGATAGAAGAAAAAAATCTGTAATATAAAACACATTAAACTGTCATCCTGCACTACAAAAGATGGAAACTATCGATAAGTACTTTTCTCACCTTGTCGCCGCTGTTTAACACGGCTTCATCGTTGTTTCGAATATAATCCAACATTCCTTGCGGCCATCCACTATCATCCGCCGCCAAATGTTTCTAAGTAAAGATTAATACCAAACACGTGATAAGCCCGAAGAAAAACAAACTTACGATTAGTTTGATGTGTTTGCCGTCATCGAACTAAACATAAATACTTCGCAAAGAGAAGATCAAACTAGGAGACCTACCCTCCAAATAGAACCCGGCTCCCACGACAACCAGGGTTAGCTATTTTCAGGTCTCTTGGGATTTTCTCCTCTTTCTGAGGATTCTACTTCGATCACTTCTGATTTTGGAAATCCCAGGAGAGCTGAAAACAGCCAACCCTGGGCTGATAATGTGCTCACGCAGAGATCCTAAAGGAACATCTAACCAACACGGGTGGGTAATCCTCTCTGGTTTTCTACAGTTCCTTTCATCGTATACACATGCTACACGAGCATTCATGACAGTACATTTCATCAAGAAACTTGTATTTGCATCTATCGATTTGCCATTGACTGATTCTGATCCATTGTTTGGGCCTAGATTAGCGTATTCAGCCAACTCACCTTCGGCAACTGATGAAGTCTATCGATAAGTACAAAGTACACGATATACGGTCGGTACACAGAATACTCGGCCATGTTTACATTCGATATCCTCTATGACAAAATAAAGATGGCCAAGTTAATACTCAGGCAAATAGGGAATCATCCAAACATTGTGTTGAGAGAATTTTAAGAAAGTTCTACCCATATCAGTGGAGAAATAAATGCCTTACAGCCTGTCTTAAAGTCGTTTTTGGTGAAAAAAAAAAAAAAAACCACCGCATAACGTAGAAAACAAACAATTTACAAAAACAGAGTAAATTGGCAGCTCATACTTAGACGTTCCCGAGGGATTTGTATGCCGAGCATGCGCAGTAACGAGAAGTCTTTTTAGGAAAGTGATCTTTGACTGATTCCAGTTTTCCAGTGAGTAAACAAACAGCGACAGTGATGTTAGGTAAAGCGGACTGTCCACTTGAAATGACAAAAAGGAAAATAAATTAATCACTCACTGGCTTATTAAATTCAAATCACTTTGAAAGGTGGAGTAAAAAGGTCCTCATCAGTGATAGAAGTTATTCTCTAAAAATTTAGAAGCTTCTCAGAATATGAAAGCATGTTATTCTTGTGCGATTTAAGTGTGGTTTAAAAATCTTTTGGGCATAACTTTTTAAAGCCATTCATAGGCTCTTATGTTTCATTCTGTAAGTGGCCGTAAGCTGGGTATACACGGAAGAAACGCTGCTGACGGCTGGGGCGATCGGGTAGCTTACCTCGAACGACGATTCAATCCATTTTTCCACAGGCATGTCCAGGAAGGATTTCAGGGTTTTCTCCTCTCGACTCAACTGCCGTGTTCTGAGAGAGATTGATGAAAAGTTATCTAATTCCAGGCAAAACATATGGCCACACAGAACTGTCCGAGTTCGATAGAATTGTAGTTAATGATGGGCCACTTCCCTCTCCCCCTCGCTCCCCACCCGTCAAGTTTTCGTGAAGATTTACCAGTACTCATATATACCCTTGATCGGAGAGGGGTGCTGTGAAAAGAATGTGGAACGTCTTTGCTAAGAACACAACCAAATGACTTAGCAACGAGTTGGACTCAGTTTTCTCGACCTAGATTAGACCATGCTATTCATGAGACCACTGTATCTTACACCACAACTCCCGTGGACTTCGCGTCAGCCTTCGTGCGACTGTAAGTTCCCCACCCCTCCTCCCGCAAGGAAAAACGGAAGGGAGAAGGGTAAGACTACAGGTACGCTAACCTCGCTCGTGGAAGCATTACAACTAAAGTGACGAATTAAGGGCGCTTTCTTGTTCAGAACGTAAAGTATCATGTGCATGGCATATGGTACAAATTTGATGTTCGAATCTCGTCCTCCGCCACCTGTGTCCTCACTAAATGATTTTTCAAACGCAAAGCGCTGTAGCAACAGGCGCAGATCGTGAATGGAAGCGTGAAATGTCGGCTCCAGATGACCTGTGCACTCTTGAATGTAACTGTTGTGTCTGGAAAAAACAAAAGACTCGATCTAGAAATGGAAGACTCCAGTCATGGACACTACTGACGCAGGCATAAAATTTAACATTGGATGGATTTCTTCCGATAGATCAACAAGCTCCTCTTAAACAGCTGGACGATAACGGGGGAACGAGGACTAACTTGGTTAGAAATATGTACTGTTAATAACAGAACGCAAATTAACTGAGGGGAAATACAGTTTGTGACAAGTAATTTTGTTTTCGATTCTACCTTGAGATCTGAACACCACGAAAATGGCAATATTTCTGATATCATGAAAGTCTATCAGGTCAGTCTAATTAATTGTTGCGCTTGGAGAAACCTTAAGGCTGATTTAAACCAAAACTGCAATTTGTGCGAAAACTTTCACTAAGGTCATTTATCGTTTGCCCGTGACTTACTGTTCGTCATGTCAGAACATGCACCTTTCTATGATCACTACAAAGCGCAAAAGGTACACCCACCTTGCCAAGCAACTCGCAAACGCTGATTCAGAGACCTGGTAAGGAACACAAACGTTAAATTGTACAACTACTAATGCAGGCCTCGTATCACGAGGGAGTTATGGACGACTCCGCCATGAGTTAATTCAAAGTCACGACACTATTCCATGATATAAGCCTCATAAACTCAAATAAGTTCGACAAATTACTAGACGCTTTGAAAAGCTAAAGCATGTTGAACTCCTACGAAAGTTAGTGATATAGCATTCTGCTATTTTTAAGATTCTGCTGGATTCATTACCTGAGGACGCCAGATTGGTAAAAGACCATTGCACTTAGTGTTCGCATTCTGAGGGGCGGCGCTTTCCCACTCGTCACGACCACGAGCAAGTATGTTAGTAAATACAAACATCACAAATTCACTTTATCACAAAAATAGAGAACTAAAACAGACAAACAAACAGTACAACGAGGCAGTTACAGTGGAACCTCGATTTAGTGAAGTGCCAAGGGACTGGGGAAATTGATTCGTTCTATCGAGGGTTCGTTATTTAACAAATGGTAAGCACCACAGCGTACACTATTGAGTTATGGATGCACGCGGGAGGTTGCTAAGCACGAAAGAAGCGAAACAGTCGCTCGAGGCGATAGCCGAGAGCGACTCTAGCTTCTCGAGTGCTTAGCAAACCTCCCAAGTGCATCCATAAATCAATAGTGTACTCTGTGGTGTTTACCATTTGTTTTATAACATAACATTGATACATTGTAGCTAAAGAGTTCCCTTTTATTTAACAAATCTTACGTGACCAGAAAAAACAAGCGCGCGCGGAAAAATAGTCTTTGCACTTGCTCACGTCAGCAGCGTACACCCATGGGCAAATGGGAGACGCTAAATTGACCAATCAGAGCGCGCGCTTTACTTTGGTTATGTTATAAATCGAGATTCTGGGGCATTCACTTTTCTGTAACTTTAGCCGGGCTGAAACTGAAGAATCGTTCGTTATATCGAGGACTTCGTTAAATAGAGGTTCGTTAAATCGAGGTTCCACATTAACTAAACGGCAATTTAGGAGACAAGGTTGTTACAACACTTAAAATATTTTTATGACGTCAAAACAACAATAAAACGAATGACAGAAAGAACGTGATAAAGAATGAACGAGAACCAGACAGACAGACAGGCAGAATGCGAGAGGGAAAAGAAAATTTTATTCCTTTTAGACAAATGAATTTAACATTTTACTCACCTCACAGCGGCCATGTGACAATCATAGTGTACGATACTGAGGTGACTTACAGTAAAATATATACCCCCCTGCGGATACAACAACAGAAAGTAAACATACCAAAGATGTCACTAAATTTGGTAAAGTCATGCTCGCAACTTGAATAACTTTCCATGTAAAATAATACCATACGGTGGTTCATAACATCGTCTAAAATGAAACTGCTGGTGGGGTACATAATAATTATGACTTGTGATGATGACGATGATCCATCTGCTTCGCGCTGAAGTCATGTTCATTGTGGCTGATGAAGCAGCGGTTGCCAAAACCTTAGAGAGCAGTTATCCGCAATCTTCTCCATCTTTGCCAGTCTGCATTCATTTTTGCTCTTTTCCTAGTACTTGTCAACTCGCAAACTTGTAAATTACCTAATTCTAGAAAACTATTGCATTGAGGCATTTTCTATTACGGCACAGTTTTTTACTTCATCCAGATAATACAAAGTATTGTGAAACAGCTCTTTCATTCCCCACAGATATTTGACTTTCCCATTATCACTTCTTTCCTTGTTGACTGCTCTATCACTTTTGGCAAATAACTTTGAGTATAGCTAACAGCAAGACAAATTTAAACTCTGACAAGAACAATAACCTTGTAAACAAATCCGCAGAGTTTTCTGATGTGTGTTTTTCGTTGTTTTTTTTTTCGAATTCCTCTAGTATACATCTTTTAGTGAATGAGTAGATACCGAGAACCTGTAACGAAAAAAAAAAAAAACTCCGAAGTTAAGCAGGGACAATTGTTTTACACTGTGAAATGTTACAATAGCTGAGCTTCCTAAACTTCCATGTTTCAAGAACACATTTAGTCTGCAGTGCAGGTGTCTTATTAGGGTGAGTTAACATTAAGAAGCGCGCGATCATTTATTTAATCGGTCAGAATTTGGAGTTAGAGTCGACGGTAGGAGGGGGTGGGAAGGGACGAAATATTTACTCCCCCACCCTCACCCCTCCCTGTTCTTTAACTGTCACTCGCCCCCTCGGTACAAATTTCTTTCCCTCCCCAGCCTCCCGCTTTCAATAAGATCAAAGAAGACGGCCCTATTTTTCGCTGAGAAAATACTGAGCACTCGCTCGCCGGAATTACGTCCGCTCTGCTGGGTAAGACACGTCCAAAGGGTACAACAGACCTTTTATGGATGATATTTGTATCCCTCACGGCAAATACAACACGCAAGTCCGGACTCTTATTGTAGTTCTTCCATCTCGCGAAGTAAAGTTGACGGTTTAGCGATGATTTTTCCTCCAGAAGTTGTCTGAAAAATAATTGATACTCAATTAAAACAACAAAATTACAATCCATATTTTTGGATTGCTTTGCCCTCAATATCCATGTATCTGTCACACAAAAAAGTCATATTACAAAAAAAAAAAGACAAAAGCAAAAGAAGGAAAGCAACTGCTAAAACATCTGGGAAAAAAGGTAGAAACCCTGATAAGGAACCCTTGTATAGAACGAAGATCCCGGTACAATCAGCAAATAAACTATTTAAAGTGGTAGGAATAGAGCTGAGGACTAAGTTTTGGTCTATAAGGCGATCGAACAAGAGCAGTGCAATATTGACGAGAATCTTTAAGCAAAGGGCATTACTTCCCAAAAAACTAGAAGGCAAAAGGATTTTTTATTACCACTAAATTCAATTAGTCCAGCTGTTATCGACCACAAAAAGCTCGATTTGTTCAAATTGGTGATACAAGCATGAAACTTTCACAGATTGTTAAGGGCTCTAAGGGAAATATTTTCGGATGTAGGGCCAAGCCAAATTAAGCTCTAGAGTCCAGATCTGCGCATGCCCCGAGTTTGCTAGCATGGAAGCGAGGCTTAAAATAAAAAACGCCTTAAAGGAAAGAGTTTAAGGAAAATAACCGTCAGTTATAACAAAACTGATAATTTGTTGTACATTTTGATACACTTCAAGCTTTTGAGGCGGTCACGTGACCAGTTATAAGGTTTTTTTTTTTATTAGCTTTTTTTATCATTAGCCCGCAGATATACCGAAAAAGCGAAAATTATTTTTATTTCTTTTTAATGTGGCCACTTAAAAAGTATATTTTCTTGCTATTCATCTTTTTTCTTTACGATTCACTTTGTTATTTTATTTGTTTCGTTTATACTTTAGAATAATAAATTAATACTACATGAGGACAACTAAACGGATTTCGAATTCTTGTCTTTTTGCCATTGCATAAAGGACTGGCTATCACGTGCACAAGAGTTATACAACAAGGAAGAACTTGACCCGAAGGATTTTGTTTCGTGGGCGGCTTACGGAGCCTCCAAAACTCCACTCTCCATCTATAAGCCTGCGATAGCTACGCTGCTTCGTGTGTTTACTGAGAATGCATATTCACTGGCCATGGTAGCACATAGCATGAAAGTCACCAAAGCGGCTGTGCAGCACCTTAACCCCTTGCAAACGCCAGTTATCGCCCTTTACCAACCTTTATATGCCCTGGCAAAGCATATCCAGTGGACGCTTCTTGAATTTAATGAAGACAAGCTCTTCGCCATGATGGACTCCATATCGAAGGACTCCATGAAGGACTCCATATCGAGATGGCTTTATCAAAAATGCTAGGAAAGTGGCTTACTGGTTGAGGATGGTCAAAGATCATGTATAGCGCGGGGTTGCAACTCAAGGGGTCGCAGAATCGTTTCTAACTGCAAGTCATGTGACACGCACACGACGTGCACACTAAGTGACAACGGCAAGTCTTCATATTCTGAAGAAGAAAGCGTACAGTGCATACAAGGATAAACTTGAGGAGACTGAGCAGAGCCTAATATTTGAAGACTGGGAAAACACAATGGAAAAGAAGTCATCACATTTTCTGTTCTGGGGACTAGTGTTACATTTAGAGTACACCTGTCTACGTTATATAGACGAGCAGTACTTCAGGGAGTTCATACTTGGGGCCAAACCCCCTTGTGCCAGCCCGCACTTCCTAGCCCTGCAGACTGGGGATGGTAGCATCTAGCAAGTGACTGGTCACCGTATTGGACGACTTTTAAACAAGCAAAAGACACCTGCTATGAATTTATCCACTGTGGATGTAAAACTGCATGCAGGGAGAGATGTAAGTGTATGAAGGCTAATCTGGTGTGCACCGGCCTCTGCAATTNATTACAGAGGAACTGAACAAAACGACCTAATTTTACTGACGGAACGAAACAGACCAATCCCGACCGACTTACGCCATCTGGGTGTTACAGCCAATAACATCACGGCAAACCTGACCTGTCATTTAACACGAACTGGACTTAGAACATTCGACTGACAACAACTTTTCACTAGACTCTGATGATGACTTCTGCTCAGTTTTGGAAATGTTAGTCATCGCAACCGACAACAGTCCTTCTCAAGACTTCACCCACCTGGACGATCAGACTACACTGTCAAATTCCAAACAAACAGTTTGAAAGTTTTTCTTACCTTCGACGCGCTGCTCTTTTCATCCGGGCGTTAAAAATTTGCGCAGCACCATAAACGACCATAAACAAGGTCTCCATTTCTGATCTTTGCGGCCTCGCGAGATACTTTTTTCTATGCAAATTCTTCAAAAGGGGAGCGAGATATTATCTTTTCTGAAACTAAATAGTTCTAATTGAGCCATTCTTGGTGAAGTTTGCCGTCAACATTAAAATTCCACGTTAGTAGAAGGCCAAGCCGCCATATACCAGGCTTCACGCCAAAACAAAAACCACGCAGGCACACAGCGATTAGTTGTTATGCCCTGAAAGAATTGCTGACTAAGTACTGAAAAATGTTTCCTTTACAGGCAGTACATGGCACCAGATGTCAGGCAAAATCTTTTTTTCATTTTATTCCTAATTTTCGTTTTTAAAGGGTCGAAAATCCATTATGGTATGCAAAGAATAAATGGGGCAAATGTCTCATATCTTCGGACAAAAAGGATTCGATACATCATTGTTACACTTCGTCATTGTTCCCTTGCATTTGCCTCTGATTCTGTTGATCCGTTTTCTACACCCTGACACGTTCACTTTTTAGCTCTCTAATTCCATATTGGCTTTGTTTCCTATATTTGCTCTTTCTTGCACCTTAGCTGTGTTGAATATTAGGAGATGGCCTGATCTGGATACACCACTTGTTGCACTTTTCGCTTTTTTGAACCTTCTATTTTGATATAACAGGCGATATACTAGTCGTCATCTTTCAAAGGAGAAATGCTTATTAGAGAGATATCTTGAGTGGATGAAAATGACTTCACTTTGTATCAGATACCGAAATAACTTGTATGCTACAAAAGTATATCACCTGATAAAATTTGAAATTTTTGTTCTATATATATATATAGAAAGTGTAAAACGATGAAACATGAAGCAAACTTCTAACCGTTCCAGCTTTGGAACCAAGGAATCAGAGAAGGGATAAACCGTGATAGAAAACATAGCACTATCGACACATGATAAGTTTTTGGAAAATAATTTCTCTGACACTCTACGTTCTGCTTAGTTCAACTTCTTTATTCCTTAGTACCCTTTTATATAAACTTACAGCAGGGAAGACTAGTTAAGATCTAAAAAAATTTTATGATAAGCTGAATTATTCGCGCATTTTGATTGGTTGAGCTCTTTGAGGACAGCGCATAATAGACGTCACCATTAACAACATTTTGCTTTTTTATCATACAAAAAAACTGATTCCATGTTGCCGTGCGTCTGTTCGGTAAACTGATATAAACGTGATAAGAATAAAATACTAAATATTAGAGGACTTTCCTGATCGTAAGTTAGACAAAGGATTGACCTTAAATGAGAACCAGAGAGGATACTACCGAAACAGGTAGACTGTTTCTTCGAAGACGTGTGAAACAGTTGCCGCTGGAGAGAAGCGTATTTGAATTATGCGCACGTGATCTATCCCTTACGCCTCAAACGCAAACACTCGTAATCGCACGGGCTCTTCCATACACAAACAAGAAAGGTCCTGTATCCGTGGTAAAAGTGTAGACGATAGCCTAAGATGTCTGATAATCGCTTCGATTTTAGCTGAAAAGAAATATTATAGAACACTCGTAGCTGGATCATGTTGTATTACTAAACGAAAGCGGATAAACAACGACAGACAGCAAAAGCGCGGGAAAAGAGATGCGAAGGAATGTTCTTACGTGCGTTTATTTTTTGTGCTAAACATCTTTTTAGTCACGTGACCAAAATCGATCACCCTTGCCTTGCACAACGACTGTTACGTACGTCTCCGGAAAAGCAGTCCACCTGTTTCAGCAATAAAAAAGATTTAAGAAGATTTTAAATACTTTCCAGTAAAAATCTGTATAAGAATCAACTTTGACCAGAGAAACTGCTTCTTCCTCTACTATTCCACCATTAGGCTGATTCACTTATTTGAAAACTAAAGTCCAATACGAATGTAACTTACCAAAAAATGAT